GCCACCAACCTGGACTGAGATCAATGGAGTTGCAGTGCCCAGAGTTTCCATTCCTACTCTGCCACAAACTGTGGAGTGTCCAGCTCATGCTGGCTTTGGTGACACCTGACCTTGTGAAGACAGTGCCTTCCAATTCTTCCCCATCAAAGCTTCTCACAGGTGGTGCCAGCTACAGCCATGGCAGCAGGACCAAGGCAGATTGCACACAGACTGTCTCAAGTATCAGAGAATAAAGTGTGTCTCTCACACAGTGCTTTCCCAGAGGAGAAGAGGGCAAGTCATCACCAGGTAAGCATCCTATCCCTTGCTCTGTTCTGGAGCATGAGGATGCTTATTCTCTTGCAGCTGCTGGTAGAGAAAGAACTAAGCAGACCATGAGATCTGGGAAGCGTAATCCCTCCTTTCTTGGGCTCCCTCAGCCAAGAGGGACCAGAGGCCACATGCAACTCCTCACTCCTCCCCTTCTGCATTCTCAAGGGGATGGATGCTTCCAATCTTTCTTTCCATCCTCATTAAAAGAGAATCATGGCTTCTGAGGAAAGACAGGCTGTCTGAATTCACTTCACTGACTGCTGCAATCCAGTTCACAGGTGTGAATCCAGGTCGACAGGATCTCTGAGGAAAGAGTTCATATCTTTGATGTAACATCCACAGACAGCAGATTTAAATTGCACTGTTAGAAGAGGAAGTGGAGGACCTTACTCACACCAGAACACAGACAACTTGGCAAGGATTGCAGCTCTACTACTTAGAGTAGGTCAGGCACAACTGGAAAGTGGACCATCAAGTCTCAGTGAGGAGGCCCATCTCCATTTTTTTTTAAAGGCAATATGGACTGGATGCCCCAGGCTCACCTTCCTTCCCCAGACAACGAAGACAAATCAAGACAGAACAAATATGATACAAAAAGGCATTGTAATATGCTGCATTTAATTTATTGAAGTATGAGGACAAGTAAGATTAAAAAAGAGTAGTAACTATTGGTTTGGGGTTTTTTTCCTCAAAAAATAAATTAGATCCTTTGGAAAATAAACTAAACCCCTCCACAATCCAGTTACATCTTACAGGTGGCACTCAGCCACTGGAATTCATATGACTGCTGCTAAAAGGTAATTTGAAGATGTATTTTGAGCTTGTTCAAGAACAATGTCAGACATATTAACAGCAAAATAGTTTTGTTATTACTGCTGATCTGTGAGAAACTGCATGCTCAAGTCTGTAACACAAGCTTAACACCCAAGATCAGAGCAGAGGCAACAAAACTGCCCTTTTCAGAACACCATATATTAGTTTTAAGGTCTTGAAGTTAATGTGACTCCGGCCCCACATATCTTCCACAGTATAAGTTCCTTAAGAGTTTAGAATATGTCTGGATATTTTCCACCACAAGGACTTCTTCCTCACATATATTTTATT